AGAAGACTAGAATATCTAACCATTTCTTGATGTTATAGAAAGGTAGCAAATTCTTCTCAATTATTTTAAGACTCTGAGTGTTGGTCCGGCCAGGGCTCAAACCCTCGACCTCCCGCACAACAGTTCAGCGCTCTATCCATTGAGCTAACAGGGAGGCGGTTAGCTCAATGGTATGCACGCAATGGAAGCTACATTTTTAGTAAAATGTCACCAAGGATTTGTGTAGGTGTACAGTTTAACAGCTTAGTAGAGATTCTTTAGTCACTAAAAGGGTGTTTGGATGAATGCCCAAGTGAACTGTGCAATATCAAATGTTACCTGTATCCTGAAAGAGAACATCAGACAAATTATAGTGAGAATGTGGCAGTCTACCAGAATTCTCTGAGGTCTTTTTACCATGCATTCCTCCATTATAATCATGAATGATCATAAATTTGATTTTCTCAAAGAAAAAACAATACATTTCAAACTACAATAACTATGCAATATATGACACCAAACCACTTTGTTTAGAAAAATTTGTAGACAGTGTCGTGCCCTAAATTATGAGTTGCATGTTCAAGGTTTTTTTTCGTCAGTTATAGGCTATCAAAACCAATGCGATCATAGCTGTTGAAAAATATAATTGAAATTTATTTGTTTCCTTTGTTTTGCTTAATTATAACTTTTGATTACCGTTATCCAGATGAGTGGAGCATGGAAGATAAAATCCTGTTTGAACAAGCTTATAGTTCCCATGGTAAAAGCTTTAAGAGGATTCAACAAATTGTGAGTATAAATGCATAGTCATACAAAGTCATGTACACCTGTTTATTTTCATAGTTTATGTGTAATAGTGGCAACTTGACACTATTAGGACATGAATCTCTTTGCCTTGGTTTGTACTGTTGCCAAATACAATTTGCACAATTGTGGAACAATAAATGGTAACTCTTGTAAACAGTTGTGACATTTTTGTCAAGTAATACCAGGAATGCGAGTCATTGTTTTTGTCTTGTTTTGATCTCTTAGTTGCCTGACAAATCAGTGGCCACACTGGTGAAATATTACTACTCCTGGAAAAAAACTAGAAGCCGAACCAGTTTGATTGATCGGCAAGCCAAGAAGATGGCTGTTCAAAAGGAACCCATCAAGTAAGTCACTCATAATAAATTGAGGAAATGAGGGGTCAGAGAGGAAACGGAGAGATAGAGAGGGACCTGGTTCAGGCTTTGAATGACTCTTACTTGTGAAAATTTTCAAAATAGGAAAATGAGTATATGATGATTAAAAAAAAATACTTTATTTTCTTTCAATTTACTTCTTGAAAGACTTCCAAGTTATCATAATTTTTATTGCAGCCATTTTACTTAGCTTATCTGGGGTCACCTTTTAACTCCCAGGATCCAATTAGTAATTCTCCATACCAACTGCCATAGTTTTCCTTGTAAATCATATGGGAGAATTTGGTCTTATTCCTAAATAACACCCTTTAGCTGGTAGTTCATAACCTGTCTGCAGGGAAACTTGTTGGAGTTACAAGGAGAAGTTACATGTTCATTATTTTTTGAGGTTGAAGGGTTGATTCTGATAATGGTAGTTTGGTTTGACTTAATCGTTGAGCAAACAGTGATTACATCTCTGTTGTTAGGAGTAATTCTACCAAACTTTTTTAATAACAGAAGCCCAAAATCTCTTAGCACTTTTAAGTTTTTGTCTGTTTGGTAAAAGCACGAAGAAATCTTACGAGAAAGATTTGCTAACTCAACTTTTTCTCACAACTTTTCATTTTCCAACAGTGACCCTGAGAGTGATAACAGCGACTCTAGTGACAGTGACTTTGAGCCAGAAAAAGAGGTACTACCTTCAAAAATGATACTATTGCAGTCATTTCATTTTCTTAGAGCTATGGCCATGTCCTTTTTTCCTTTAATGTGAATGGTAATGTGTGCATTTGATTTTTTTTTGTTTGTGTCTGTGTGCATGTTTATTTTTTGGTTGCACTTCTATGAGTGTGGTACCTGTGCAATGCTATGTAGAAGTGTTAAGGCAGCTGTTTGATGACTTTACCTTCAATTAACTTTGACTGGGATCCTTATTCCTATCGCTCTTTGCTTTGGTTATTCCTGTCTGGTGGCTAAGGGTAGGTCTGTCAGTGGGTAAGTTTCTAAAGAAACTGTGGTGCTGTGTTGGTGGGAGTACTACAAGGTAATTTGGTTTAAGCAAATGAGTTGATAATGTTATGTAAATTATCAACTCATGTTTTGAGCATTAGCCCCTCATTAGAGCAAATGGCTATAAAGAGTTTGTTTTTCAGCTGTTCAATAATTTTTAATAGATCTCTGGCTTTGGCTGCTTTAAACTAGACATGTATTAATTAATGTTTTTTTTTTTCCTAATAGACAAGGCAAGCAAATGGTCAGAGCAAACCAAAGATCATGAACAAGCAGCCTATTGTATGTACATTTTCAATTTTGACTTTAAATTACAGGTCATCCTGTGCATATGATAATTATTAAATCATTATTCTGTACACTGGTATCCTTCTTGTACTGTGCACTGAGCGAACAGAACTGGTTTGTAAACAGCTGGGATGGTTAAATTTTGATTACTCCAATTGCATCAACTGCATGCAACTTTGCAACCATGTTGCATTGCTCACTTGTGTTGTAATCAGCAGTTTGCACAGAACAACTTGTGAGTTCAATTTAAGAGTTATAACATATTGCTAAAAATAATTAAGTACATTTTTTTTTCAATTTGAATTACTGGCATTTAAAAGTACTGACTACAGTGGTACAAGTTTTGCACTAACAAACAAACATCAGCTTCATGGCAACATGTAACTACGTGTAGTTTTATTGGGTTTTGCTTTCGTTACCATTGTCACTTGTATTGTTAATATTAGTACACTAATGTGTGATTAAGTAATTTTCTCTTTTGATATAGGGAGCACCAACAGCAACAAACATTTCTGGTTCTTGTACAAATTGCCGTACACAAACTACTCAACTTCATGCTACTCAGAAGGGGAACATGTGCAGCGCATGTTATCAGTTCTTAAGGTATTTTATTTCAATGTTCATGGAACTAAAAAAAAAAAGGGACTCATGTTAACATATAACACACACCTGCTTTAACCCTGTAACTCCCGTGAGGGACCAAAACATGATTTCTCCTTACAATTCAATGCAATATCAACCAGACAACTGATGAGAATTAAGACAAATATCAATCAGGGAACTATTGGTCAATCCAATCTCAGATTCTCTGAAGTAACATCGTTACAGTTGTTTGGCATACAGTAATGGGAGTGGAATGGTTTAAAAAAGCACCCTACTGTACTAACACAAAACTAACAAATTGTGAAAATAATCCTTTGCTTTTATATCATTAGTAAAAAAGTACAACACAATTTGGCAGAACCAACTCTCAGTCTGGCCTCATTTTACAGGAGAACAGGGACTCTGAGACCAAGGCACGAAGGGAGAGAGACAAGAACTGGCCACCGAGGAAACAAAGTAAAGAGAAAAGCTCCTAAGGTTGGATCATTGCAAATGCAACAGCATTTAAAGTTGCCTTTTCTGGGCCATGGCAAACTATTTTCTGCAAGGATTTTTGTGTTTTTGTTTTGTCTTTCATTTCATACTCCTCTACTCTGTCCTCAGTAACTGTGCAGTGTAATTCTGGGTTAAAAGTGCATTTTCGTTGACTACCAAACAGCTAAAACCTTGATGATTTCATTAATTTTGCACAAAAACAAGCAAACTGCCCCCCTACAAGCATTTCCTTCTTTCATTTATACCGTAAACACAGGCATATAATTGCTGCACCTTCTTTAAAGCAAACTAACAAGAACTTCACAAATTAACCATTGACACCTGAGTGTTTGCATGACTATGCGTTAGTTAAAACTTTGTAGAAACCAGAAAAGTAATCCAAAATGTGCAAAAAATTGTATTAAATCATCTCCTCCCAAGAACAAACTTCAATGAAAACTTTTTTTAAATAGAATGTACTTTGGAACCTTGTAGAAAAAAGCTCATTTTTTACTTTCATGAGTGGTGGCCAAGACAGAATTTCTCCTTAAAATACCAATACAATACCGATCCAACAAGTGGTGAGAATTGTTGATCTAATACCAAATTCTCTTAAGGAACATCATAGGAATTGTATGGCAGACGGCAAGAGGAATTGCTATTGTGATCTTGGAAGTGAGAAAAGATGTCAATTGGAATTTTTTTTGATCAAATTTGTTTGTGGCACATGTTCTCAATGAATTATTGTGGATTCTCAAGTAAAGCAATGATCCCTTGGGTGAGCTGAATTTTGTTTGGCAATTGTAAGAAAAGCAGCTTGAAAAAAAAATTTCGGGTTTTGAAAAGATTCGAAGCAGTGACTCTCGGACTCTATTTGAACACCAATACATGCACCCACTGAGCTATGAACCCACACATTGGGAGCAAGGTCAACCAGAGAGGAATCTGATTATGAATTATGTACATGATCATTCTAGGGAATGGTTTTGTCACAAGAGTACCTTGTGTCTGTGTCTGGTACCCATGGTGACACCCATGTGCGACCATTAGAGGTGGAAATTGTAAACCTCAAGAGACAGATCCAGGCAAACAAGCAGTCTATAAGTCAACACAAGTACCAGCTGGATAGTGGTGTAGAAACCATGAGACCCGGCGATGTAAGTAGGGTAAATTGTGGTAGGTAGNTAGTATCTTCACTGCGCGCGGTGAAGATATGATTTTTTAGTAAAAGGAGAAATCCTGGTATTTCATCAGTATCTATATAATAATGATGGATATTATAAGGAGAAGTTACATGTTAATCACTTCTGGGAGTTAAACGGTTAACTGTGAAGGGAAGTGGGGAAAGTATCGTATTCTCAACAAGTAGTTTGTGCTTGCAGTAGAAGGTAGGCGTTAGTAAATTCGATTTTCGTCGAGTGACAAAATCCAACTACGGTTGCTGCGTTTCGATAGTGTGATAAGGATTGCTCCAGTTGAAAACTGGGATGAAGGCTTTATATCAAATTTAAGTGTGGTTGCTTTGAGGAGAGTTGATGTTTTTGTACTTTCTGTACAGCCGTCAGACGCTATGGGAAAGACTTCCAAGCCATGGCTGAAGTCTTGGGCAATAAGAGTGTCAGCCAGTGCCGAAATTTTTTCGTCAACTACCGAAGACGGTTTAACCTTCAACAGGTTCTGGAAGAGTATGAAGCGGAACAAGGGATTACAAGCAGCGATAGAAAAGACGACGACTTGCAGGTGCTGCATATGTCGGGATCTCCAGGAAGCAGCGGAAATTCATCACCCAGTCAACCGGACAGGTCATCCCCATCCATTCCCAACCAGGGTAAACTGTTTTCGTCGTCTTCTGTGCAATTATCAATTAATATTGAAAAATGTTTGCTTAAAAACTTCTAGTTGTGGAGGCCATATGTAACTTTGATTCCATTGGTTCTTAGTGCAAATTATGATGCAGGAAATTTCGATATCCACGTAGCTAGAATTACTGGTCATACCAGCCAGTTAGAGAAAAGGGAAATATATCAGAGGCAATGAAAAAGGCTGCCTTATGCACTGACAAACGCGATTGGCCAAGGTACGATTGGTTGGACTTCTGGGATTGGATCAGAAAACTTATCCCTTTTACTTTGAGTTCTCATCGGCTCCCTGTGACGTAAGCCTTTCCTCTGCTAGACTGGTGCTATTAATTTGGTTTTGCTTTCACTTTACCCAATGGAAATGTGCTCTACACATTAAAGCAATACGTGTGCTTTGTTTTCTATTCCAGGACTCTCCAGTCAGCCGCCGCCTCTTCTAAAGCCGTCAGGATCACAAGCTCAGCGTCATCCTCCCCCATTACAACCACAGGTTGCAGTCCCACGAACTAGTCAGGGTGGCCTGCAAGGCCCACCTCCACTGATAAAACCAATGGTCCCACCCATACGTCCGCAGGTAAAGTTTGAGATCGTCTTTATGCTCATAACATATTATATTTTTTTTTGGGGGGGGGGGGGGAGAGGAAGGTTGAAGTTGTGTTTGGAAAACTGTGAAAACTGAAAAAATAACTGCCTGCTAGCTTTCTTTTTCTTTTCTTTTGTTTTGCGCTTCAAAGCATAAAGCTTAGTGAAAATATGATAACCCGTATCGAAGCCGCGAGAGGTTTGGGACGGATCCGACAGCTACGCAGGCGACCACGCTTTTCAGACTCGGAGAGCTGTTAAGACCTTTGAAAGCGATTTAGCTTTGGCAAGTAGATGTACACTGTGGAACATCAGGACAACAGACTAATTTCAACTGCTTTATGAGATCTGATGCAAGGACCCCTCCTCAGCAGAAAATTGATTGAAGCTAGGAGTGCTTGTGGCATGTCCGCGTATTGCTCATAGGAGCAAGAGAAAAGTAATAATATAAACCTTGAAAACGACGCCTACTAATTTACAAGTGGCCGCATTAGGTGTACATGCAGGGTTTGTGTGACTCAAAGTTTGAATAATAATTGAGTTTGGAGATCTGTATGCATGCGAGGGTGTCCTTGTAATAACTTTGGTCAGAAAGGCATTTTGTTCCTGTTTTGGTTCTAATGTTTCACTTTTTTTAAACCTACCTATTTTTTAAAATGAATTTTAATTTTTCTTTCTATTTGCATTAATTTTTATTTACTTACCATTTCAGCCACTTCATCCCCAAGCAAACCCGATGATGCGGCAGTCCCCGCCAGCTCATCCTCATTTAATTCAACAAATGATGGATCAAAAACCCCTCGGTGGTCCTGTTGGTAGATCTGAATCGCCGCATAGTGCCTCTGGTACCCCTCCCTTGCGGCAGACACGCTCTGGCATGTGATACTTAAGTTTGAATGTAGGGAATTTGAATCCGTACTAGTTAGGTGAAAGTATATATTTTTCTGCTGAAAAACAGTTGGGTTTTTAAGTTCAATTCCTGTTTTATGTAACTGATTGAATTGCAGTGTAGGAGTGTTGAAGTTTGTTGTAATGATATGCAATCGAGTGTTTACATGTAGATGGAAACCGTTCACAGCGCTCTTCGATTGAGTGTTAGAAAACCAAAACCAAATCGATCAAAATAGTCAGTCATGGCAAGGGAAAGACACCAGGAGCCAATGAGAACTCGAAGAATCATAAGCAAACTGAAGCCTGAAGCGCAGGAAAAACGCGGTGGCCAAGCAGCGTTTGGTTTTTGTTTAAATCTGATTGGTCGAAAAAGTGGCGCGAGTCTTGGTGGACCAATCGGACAGAGAAGCAACGCAAAACCAAACCAGTTCTGGATTACTTTCAACACTCAATTGAAAATTGCTCTATCAGTTCCAAAGGCCATACTTCCAAAAGCCCTCCCGAAGAACGCCTTTTGATTGAAACAGCTGAAACGGCGATAAGAACGAAGAAAATATCCCAAGGAACTAATCTCATCTTGAAGTAAAAGCAGTCCAATTACTCGGAGCTCGGGAAATCGCGAAAATTCCTCGATATGTCAAGACTAAACTGGGCTCAGAGTGAATTGAAATTCCAGTTTTCTCCCTGTTCTCACAATCTTATCCATGTGACCCACCTCTTGCTTGCGTTTGATTAAATTTCGTGAGCCGATGGGATTTCTCTGTGTCCTAAAAACACTTCAATAGTTCTCTTTGGGTTTCGTGTTGTCTCCGTTGGAGAACTGAGGACAAACCCGTGATACTTGTTTTGTAAATTGTGATAAAGTTTTGTGCTTTTTTGACTATTGGAGTAGCTTTAAAGAACAGGATTCTTCTCTTTCGCTTTCCACAGTGAGGCGACTTATCAACAGACTGTTGAGTTAAAACACCTTGTACAGCTTGAAATAAATAGTACCTTGTATAATTTTTGCCTAGAGTCTTTTCCTGGAATAGTTCCCAAGAGTATTACTGATTTAAAATCCTTAGGATTTATTTCTTTAAAAGGTAGTTCGTGCAGCGGTCACACGTATACACGTGCGCACTAACTTGGAACAGACGTCCCTCCTTACTGGCAACCTATGAACGACTTCTTCCACAATTGACTGGACAGAATGACCTAACTTTACCGGGTGATCGGAACTGACCAATCGCGACTAATCTAGGCTACTTCAGTTTTACCGCCAATAGCATCATGGTGACACTGAGTAATCTGCTGAAGAATAAATGAATAACCTTGTGTCAAATGTACTAAGTTTTGCAGGTACAAGCTAATTGGGGACAATTGGTTTACACGAACTGGACTCGACTGACTGACAATGTCTTCCGCTCAAATCATCGAAACGGCAGCCATCACTGCCGACAACAGTCCCTCCGAGGACTACCCTCGCCTGGACGATTTAACACAATCAAGTGAAAAATACCACATGAAAATATAGCGCGCTAGTTTTCAATTACATTTTCATACCGAGGTTTTTTTTATCGGCAGAAGGGAGGGGAGGAGAAAAAGGTGAGGGGGAGGGAGGGGGAGTCCAAACTATGTGTTAAACTTTTGAAAAAAAAAATTATAACAGGAGTCATAAATATCCCACCCCAGTGGAATGGGTGGGATATTGGGCGCACTTAATTTGGAGCCTCGCTCTGTTGTGCGACCCTCACCAATTGCTTCGTCTAATCTTTCACCTGTACAAATGTGGATATCCTTCATACAAATCTTAATTTGAACCATTTATTTGTAATTCTAACTTGTTATTATGAGTTTAGGTTCTTATTTATCACTGGACATCTTGTTTATCCAGCATTCTTTCAATACTGATAAACTTTTCAGCAAAAAAATAAGAAAAATATCGTACCTACCTTCTAGGGCATTGTCCACAGCCTGGAAAGTTTAAATTACCTCTTACGTTTCGTAAGCACCACGTGAAAGACTGTTCATAAAGCTTTCTTTTTATTTCTGACACGGAAAAAGCGACTTTTATCTCATGACATCCCTCCATGATACGCGTGTTTCTTTCTCCAAGATGTCGACATACCGGAGAGTATGTCGAAGAGTGTTTATGACTATCCTATTAATTTTCCAACAAGTGAGAACACAACAAAATCTTTCACGAGAAAAAAAACGCTTTAGTTTAAGCTGTCACTATTATTTTAAAGGTAAAGGTAAAGTCTGTTTACAAGCCTAGTTGTCCATTAGGCCGGTGCTTAACTCCGGTTACTGTAGCATGAAGCGACTAGGAGTATTTCTACTCCCCCCTGGATGGGATGCCAGTCCATCGCAGGGTCACCCCAGCATTAAATTGCCGGTACCCATTTATACACCTGGGTGAAGAGAGGCACTGTGAGAGTAAAGTGTATTGCCTAAGAACACAACACAATGTCCCGGCCGGGGCTCGAACCTGGACCACTCGATCCGGAGTCGAGCGCACCAACCATGAGGCCACCGCGCCTCCACACCTATTGTTTTAACAACACCCTAAATCGTGGCAACTTCAGTAGCAACTACACAAATCATTTCAAACCCGGAGTTTTTTAAGCGCATTTTGAATGAGCATCGTGCAAGCAAAACCATTGGAATTAATATAGCCTTGAAAAGGGAAAGATGATTATAACATGAACAAAAACATGTAAATGCGACTGCGATTGGTTTTAGTATTGACTTTGGCTGTTAAAGAGGGAGGCGCGGGGGCTTTTCTCAGTGAGCCACAACAGAACGCCGTGAAGCAAGAACAAATTACCCGGTCGCAAGGAGCGCCTTTCGATTAAGTGCCATGAATTAAAAACGAAAGCAATCACAGTAGCCAATCATGGAAAGGAAAAAGCCACGAGGAGCCAATGAGAAAAACCAAGCAAACTACCCGAAGCGCGGGAAAACGCGAGTCACCAAGTCGCGACCTAATTGGCTAAGAAAGTGCCACGAGTTTTCTGGACCAATCATGTAACAAGGTAAGGCAAAAACAAAGAAATCCCAGATTACGTTCGACACTTAATTGAAAATTACTCAAATGCTTTTGACACCTAAATGAAAAGTACTCTTACTACCAGAAATGTTTCGCGTTTTACGTTGTCTCTTTAAGGTTCGACTTCTTCATCGGAGCATGTAATTTTGAAGTGCTCGGTGAAGTATGCAACATCAGCTTCACTTGTAACCGGACTCTTCTTCACCATGACTTGAATGGTGTCCCATCTGCCGATATTTTCTGTGACATCCAAAGGTGTCTTCAGATGTACGGTCAGGAAAACTCTATTACCAGCCCAAACATTTTGCACCGTCTTGCTGTATTTTACCTCAATTGCTTTTGCCGAAGTGTTGGGATCCTCAAGGGTCGAGATTGCCATAATATCAAATACTTCGCCTGCTGCGCCGTTATAGTCGATCACGAAATGTAGTCGTAAGGTTTTGCCACACTCCAAGGTATCATACCGCGGGGTGCTTTGCAGCTGTAGCAAAAGGTTTTTCGCGTTTATGAATTTACGAGAGATCCTTTGGAAAGTTCGACCAGCCACTGTTGTTCCAGACAGCTTGAGTTTGAAGGGCACAGCGGGGGGGACAAATGTACCAACCAGACTAGATGTGGCTAGGTTGGCATTCTGAATGACGCGTCCTGATCCATCAACGAGAGACAGTTTGAGGGAAGAAAGGTCTAAGCGTTTCTGCAGTGGAATTACGAGGCTTAGGGTTGACCTTTGACCTGAAATGAAAGGTGAAGCAAAGCTGTGAGATTGCTGCGTATATGTATTTATAAATTGATATTGTTACCATCAAATAACCTTGTTGCTTGCCTGCCCTCATGCAGGGTTCGTACGCGTCTTGAAAATCCTTGAAAACCCTTGAATTTCAGGAGGCGGATTTCAAGGCCTTGAAAGTACTTGAATTTCGTTTTGGGTCCTTGAAAGTCCTTGATTTTTTATTGAACAACATCGAAAAATATCTAATTTTGTTTTGCACCATCGGTAAACCCAAAACATTGATGTTAACAGAAACATTTTTCTTGGTTTTGAGGTAAAATTGTCATTACAAAAAGTCCTTGAAATTTCTAAGTAGGGTCCTGGAAAGTCCTTGAAAAGTCCTTGAATCTTTTGCCTGAAAAAGTGTACGAACCCTGCTCATGACAATGCAACTGACTGACTGACTGACTGCGTGGCTGCCTGATTGTTTGACGAACAAACCTAATGCCTGTCTGCCTGTCTTCTTCGAAATATGGCGTCCAATTTGAATTGCCATTGTTCTAGACTCGCTAGCCTCATTTTCACGTGGAAACACAAAAGGATTATCACATGTGTGAGAGGCTAGTGAGTCCAGAATAATGGCAATTCAAATTGGACGCCATATTTCGATTCGGTATGTTGGCCAATGGACTGGCATGCGTGGCTGACTGACTGCAGGACTGGCTGCAGGACTGGCTGACCGCTGGCTGCAGGACTGGCTGACCGCTGGCTGCTTGCCTGACTGACTGAGTTACTGACTGACTGACAACCTGACATACCAATTCGCTTATATCATGCTCGTGTTAGCTACTGCTCTTACATATGATAGCATCACTGAGAATTATTACTTGTCTAAAAGGTTGTTGACATTTTGCTGTCTTAGACGCTTGCGAATTTTTAAACCTTTTTCTATATCAAATTTTAAGCCAATACAAGTAAAGTTAGGCAAAATGAGCATGCAAAGTCTACGCCAGTGGATTGACTCGGTGCTTCACTTGAGCGTGCACCAACCTTGCCATTCAACAAAATGTTCTCCAAGTTACTTACTTAATAACGGGTAATCAATTGGATACTCGTACCACTCCCTTCCGAGCCTCTTTCTTCGCAGGAAGAAGAAATCGAATTCCAAGTTCAACCTACTGGTTGCTTTGACCTTGAAAGAATGCGTCCCGACCGAAGCTGGTACAAACAGCTCCCATATCCCTAGGGTGGGGTTCTCGATCATCCACAACCCTCCCTGGGTAAGGTTTGCCGTTCGAGGCTGAGGAACCCCATCAGGAGTGCGAAGCTCGACCAGATTGGCTGCAGATGAGGTGAAGTATGTAACAATTAACGATTCAACAGTGTCGTCAACTGGAATTGCGTACGTCCTCCTCGCGTTGGAGTTGCGACGTGGGGAGGAACGTAACGATCGTGCCACTCCCAAATTTGATCGGCCCTCGTGGATAGTTGCTGTCCCGTCCAAAGCTGCAGATACAACACCACCCATTTTTGAGATCTGTCCGGAGGAGTTGAACTGCATTCCAAAGCCTCCAGTACTGTCCATGAGGTCAATGAGACTGTCGTGGTCGTGGAAGGATCCACAGCGCCCAGATTCGGTACTATAGAAGAAGTTTACAGGTATCATGTACTGCAGGGCGAGGCCAACAGAATTGTCTTGGGTGTACTTAGGCCTTTCACCGTCTTTGGCACCAGCATCAGTGAATACGAACATGGGTGAGCCGACATGGGGGTTTCCCTTCTCTATGGCGTCGATGATCCCGTTAAAGGTTAACTCGGGGCAGTCTCCACCTCCCATAGCCGCTAATTGGTCCAGAGCTTGCACGAACGACTGTTCATCAGAACCACTATACGAGTTTTCCCAGGCTGTGAAAAATAAAATAAGCATGATTGACCTCTGACTGGTCATGAGCCTTTATATAAAAGGCTAACCTTCTCTGATCAGTTCCTACCCAATATGATCAAGTAGATGAATTCACCATTAGAGAGATTTAGCACCGTGTTTACGTGAAACGTGAACGGCAACATTGACCACGTGACCTTGTTTTTCCCGCAACTTTTTCACGTTTGCCGGTTGCGCTTCGCTGTTTGTTCTTGAATATAAACAGTCTCGCGTTTGTCGTGTACGTTCATTTTCCTCTCACAGGGAAGAAGTCAGTTGCCGGAAAAAGATCACCAAAGCTATTCCTTGTAATTCATACGAGGGAGCCTTCAAATCCACAATGAGGTGAGCTCACGCGAAGCTAACTGGAAGCAGCAAGGTTCACGCTATTCTAAGCGAAAAGTGAAAGGGCAAGCTGACGTTTGCCGTTTCACGCGTAAACGCGATGCTAAATCTCTCTTCTATAAACTTTTTCCCTCTTAACCCTTTCACTCCTAAGATGTTACCAGTTATTCTCCTTACTGTCTGCCACACGGTTCTTATGATGTTACTGCAGAGAATTTGGTATTGGATCAACTAATAAGATCGTTATAGATATTTTTCTGCATTCTCACCACTTGTTTACTTGATATCGTATTTGATATCGTAAAGAGAACTTCTGTCGTGGTCTTTCATGGGAGTTAAAGGGTCTTAAAATCATATTCTGTTAAAGTCTGTTCATACTCTCTGCAATTTTAGAATTACAGCTGCAAAGGCACTTTAAGAAGCCGTCAACAGAGATGAGACGAATTGGTCCTTATTCTACTTTATTCAAATCTCCAACCTGTAGAGTTACTTGGATCACTGAAAGGTGACAGGATAAAATCAACTGAAGAATCCCTCGGATGGGCTGCGATGGCTTTCGCAATTGTCTTTGCGGCTTCGATCTCGTCTCCCATACTTCCAGTAGTGTCAATGACGAAAATAAGCGATACATCGCCGGTGATTCCCAACAGAATGTCAAATTCTTTCTTGCTAAGAACTTTTCGGAGTTTCTTAAAAACGTTCTGATGCTGTTTGTTCTTCTTCCTGCAATGGCGTGGCAGGTCTACTCTCCGGCATTTCCCTTGCTCCGGCGGACAGTGGCACTCAAACTGTTGTAATTAACATAATGAAAAAAAAAAAAAAAAGGAATTAAAATTTGAGTTGAAGAAGATCTTCGAACGATAAAGATATGATCAGAATGAGTCTCGATGAATCAGAAACGTGTGCTTTTTGCGTTTAGATTTTCGTGACGACAAAAACGAGATGACTTGAAGCTCTTGCAAAAGAATGTCGTCTTCTTGATAAGAGCCCCTTTTTTTCCTTCAGCGAACGAAGGAATAAACAACGGGGAATGGAAGAGCGGATGAGTAAGGCTGTCCACGTCAAGTTCTGCCCGGCGTTTCACATTATTATGCTAATAAGCCATTTTACAGTTGTGTTACTTAGTTGCGAAGCCTTTGATCTGGAGTGGGGCTGAACTTGAGGCAACCTTGTTGTGCTTGGGATCAGTATCTAGTCAGCGTGAAAAGCAGCAATATCTGTATTATTAACAAGGTCACCTTCAGCCTCAGAAAGGCTTGGCAACCAAGCACGCAGCTGTAAAATGAACTGTTCTCTAGCTCAGAAAATGTCACAATTATGCTGAAATAAAATCACCATTACGCTTCATTATAATTATCCAAAACATTATAAACTTTTGAATTAAAACAAGAAGTCCTAAAGTGCCGGAGGCACTGGAATCCAAGTTGTTTTCTAATTAGGAATGAGGCCTGTAGTTTTGAAGTGTTACGCCTGGCCTTGGTTGATCTGTCACCAAATGTGATATCGAATTGCTAAAATGTGTTCTAAGAATTGGCGTCTCATGGAAATCCTATAGTTTTGGCAAAATCTTTACAAAATACAGTGTTAAATAAAGGAAATATCTTTTGCACTCAGTTTATTTTTTTCTTATTCCAGCACAATGCTGGTTTCTTTTGCCTCACTATTGTACTGAAAATGATGCCAGCATAATGTAAACAACCCTCTGGATGATTCGACAAATGAAAAACTGTATGAAAAAACGGATATCTACAAAAAGGGTGACGTAGGAAGGGGGTCCTGTTCCCGTTTCATGCACAAATTTTGAAAAAATTCATGTGTCACTAAAAGGGAAAACTTCGAATCTCTCCTCGTGCGTGCGAAGTTTCAGGGAAATTATCTTGAGGTTTTCACGAAAAGAAAGAAAAAAAACACGGGTCACGTATAGTTCAGGAGGCGAATCACGCCTCACGCTAGCTGGTTCATAAATTCACGAGTCACGCTCACCCAGGCGCTCGGCTTTCTGTGAAATCTAAGCGTCACAAATTAATTTTGACCTTAATCACGCGTCATATATAAACCCTCTTCACGTACGGGAAAGAACAAACATGCAGGAATGAAAGCATACAGGAATGAACAAATGCGGAAAGGAACAATGCAGGAATAGAGCAGAACTGTGGTCGGAATAATAAAAAGAATCGAAATGCACCAGTGACAGCGCACCATAACACACCAAGGTGCTATAAATAGCGCGACAAGTAAACTCCTGACATCATTGCCTGACGAAGACTAGAAGTATAACAGTCGAAACATCGTGATCAATACAATTGATGAGCCTGACTCTTGCATTGGGAGACGAACGATTTACGTTCATTTGTTTACAAAACCACAATGAACAACAACATTCTGTGTTAACGCATGACTGGATTGTGTTAAAAGTGACAATCTCACCATGTGACCAATCATCTGTCGCGCCTTCGGGATCTCTTTGTTCTTGAAAGCTTTTTTAATGGTAGAATCCAAGTTCATACTTCTCCCTCGCCTTCCTCTTGCCGTCGCCTTTGCCTCAGCCATACCTGGCAGAAGAGAAAAAAAATTCAAACATGATTACTACTCGTGACGATGGAAGTACATGGTGCAAGTGTACTAATTCTACCCTCGCTAAAGTGGATTCCTCCCGTGTAATAAAGTAATCGCAACATTACGTTACTTTTTCGAGTAGCAGATTCAAACATTGTTGTTTATAGGCTATTCTTGGGTCTTTTCATTGCCCTTAATTAAGGTTTGGCAAATGAAATCGCAATATGATGTACAATGATTTTTTCCCCTCGCAGACCGAACGATTAGTTTGCAGACGTAAACTGGTGTCACATGAAAATTCTCGATCAGTAAGCCTAAAGGGGTCAGCAGGTGTGGTTGTATTTACCAGCGTTTGAAAAGTTCGAGCATCTAAAAAGAAAGTTAATTTAATTTACGATCTACCTCTGATGATCTGCATTGAAGCTTCCAAGTACTTGTTATTTCTGGGCGCTGAAACCGCACCAGAACTGCTTCGATGACGGTTTTTGGCGTCGTTCTTGGATAAATACTCTGCCGTTTCACGGTCCAAAATGGAAAAAAAATCCTTAGCACCTTCGGAAAAATCAAATAGAACTGCCAAGGTAGCAAGCGTCGTAAAGCACAGTAAAGTGGCTTTCTTCATGGCTAGAAGAGTTGACTACCTGTTGAAACAAGGTTGAGTTGACGAAGAATAACTTCTCGTACGCTGACGATAGCTTTTGAGAAGAGTTTAAACGGAAGTGGATGAGATTTCAGAGGTCAATGTTTCGCGACCGCAACCGTCCGCGCGCGAGCTGTTTGTAACATAAGCATGAGAAGTTGACGCATTGCGCCCTCCAAATAAATTCCAACTTAGCTGTTTAAAGCTTTACTCCAAAGTCATTCACTGAGCGTCACTAATGTCTCCATACATAAAGGTGTCACATTTTTTCACTTTTACGATTATAAACTCATTTATCGAAAGTGCTGTAATTATACTAATTACGCAAAGGGCTTCAACTCATCTCAGCGGAAACTGTCACCGAAGCGTGTCTCGTGTTCAAACGCGTGTTATGTTCGGTTTCCTGGTTTCCTCCAAACCTTTCCCCTGAAGCATAGAATTTCGATTTCAATGTCGCTAAACCAATGCTCCAATTTGAAATAATTAAAAGCAAACGACCATTTCTTTCGTCAACCTTTACAGCTATGATGATCAACTATAACTTCCGCCCTATTTCTAATGCTGCATTTCATTTAAGCGGAAGACTACATCTCCCGCGGCGAGAGTCAGTATGGATAATTTGAGTAGGGCGACACATTACTTTCAGCAAAAAGGAAACTTGGGCAAAAGGAAATAATCTGGGAAAATCAAATTAATTCTCGGTGTGACAGACAAACGTCAAACGTCAAAAGGAAAAGGTAAGCGTTGTCAAGGAAGGAGCAGATTGCTACGGTTTGCAATTTAAGGGCTTTGAAGATTCAGAGTAAATTTACAAGATTTACAAACTGTTACCGAACTCCGAATTAAAAGACGGATATGTCTGCAGCTGAAGGTAGGGGAAGTGAAAAAAGGGCAGGGGCTAGTCTTAGATTTCCCTCTTCTCCACCCCCACCCCACCCCACCCTGAAATGCACACAATAGGAAAAAGCATGGAAATGAGAGAGTACTGACAACCTAAACCATGGTTATAAATTTAGCCCTTCCTGGGTGTAAACAAACAAACGAAAGAACACTTCCTTCAGCGCCTTTGTTGTCTGGCGGTTTACAGTTACGTGCTTGGTTGCCAAGCCTTTGAACAGGAGTGAGGCTATTGGGTGACCTTGTTATGATACAAACGTTGCTGTTTTTCAAATGAAAATTACTTTATGTTAACTAGATGGTGGTCTCTGTCCCAACAAGGCCACCTTCAGCCTCACTCCAAATCAAAGGTTTAGTCACTAAGTACACAACTGTAAAATGGCGTATTGTTTCAGATTCCGAGAAAAAGTACAGGTAACTTCCTATCAAAGATTATTTATACAACTAAAATGACAGTAATAAATCACAAACAAAAGACCCATAATGCTTTTTATTCCTGAGTTTTACCTTACTCATTGGACTTTCAGATAAAATATGTGATTATCCTACATAAACTGCTTCCTTTAAAATTCGTAAAAATGTTAAAATTACAAAAGCTAAGCGAAACAATTCGTACTGAATAAACAGCAGAGGAGCCTTATAAACTTGGGGGCTGGGCGCCTATCATACAATAAAACACCAACCAAAACGGTACGTAACAATCAAAAATGTCTTCTATAGAGTGTTCTTTTAGAAATTCATCAGTATCAGAGCATCGAGTATGGGAATTAACTAGTGTAGGTGTATATCTCTGATCTACAACGGAATTCTCTTTACCAATACACTGGAATGGCAGGCCAGTTCTCATGCACAACATGCGCCCTTAGCTTTTTCTTCTCGTTCTTTTGCTTTGTCTTTTTATGTCAATTTTCTTTTTCTTTTGCCCGGTTCAAAACTATTTCCAGTAATGTTAACTTGATAACATTTCTTCAACTGATAAATTGAATTTCACGGTTAATGCACAACACAAAACAATAGCAATAATAATAATAATAATACTAATACTAATACTAATACTAATAATAGTAATAATAATAATAACAATCAAACACAACGAATATATGAAATTCATATATCTGAACTGCGGTTATAGAAACGTATTTTGTGCACGATCTTCGAAGTAAAGAGCATTATTTAATCAATAGTGAAAATCTGACCTGAAAAAATTCAGGCCTGTACGGGATTCGAACCACTGACCTATAATAATAATAATAATAATAATAATAATAATAATAATAATAATAATAATAATAACAACAACAACAACAACAACAACAAATCAAAAACAAAAAAACAAAATACCTTTAACACTTAAGGCTAAGTATTTATAAAGCGCTTAATCTTCTCTATCCTAAGAAATCACTCCTTCTTCATACTAACATTGCCTCTCTTGTCTTGATAATATTTAGCAGTTCCCTGCAATTTTCAGCATATTGTGACAAGAAACGTAGAAACCAGGCACAACACAGTTCTATTCTCGCAAAGCGCCGAGGAATACCACGGTTTCTGGGACACTTGACGAGAAAACCTGCTTAACGTAAGTTTGGGTAAATTTCGTCAAAATGCATTAAGTACCCTCTTTTCAGTATAGTACCATTATGCACCCTTCCAGGCTATATGTAAAGTTAGAGCTTCATAAAAATGGGGGCGGCCAAGCCGACCAAGCGAAGTATCAGACTTCTTCCGAAGTTGGTTCCTCATGAACACCAGCTTCTGAGTCTAATCCCAATGCAATGGTTTTAAATACTTGATATTTTAGCCCTAAAAACAGGGCAATCTGAATTTTGAAGGATAAAAAATTTGTATATCTTCCTTAAATTTTCACAAAAAGAGCTTTGGTAACATTTCCAGGTGAGAACGTTCTACGGCAGAAGTCTCGAGGTATTTTCACAAATTTTCCACTTGAAATAATCCATGTTCATCCACCTTTTCCAGGAGAGGACAAATAATTGGAGATTCAACCTATAGCGGACGCAAAATAAAGACAAACAAATTATCATGAGCTCGTAAGGAAACGTCTGTACTCGAGCCACAAAGCCCATTTACCCGAAGCACATCCCAGTTTCCATAGCATGAAATAAATGATACATAATACTAAAGAACAAATAATAATAAATAATTTAGCAATGGACATTCCACTTGGTGGCTCTTCTTGTCCACTGTTTCCAGATCGAAGTGGAATTTGAAACGTTGGTTTTTGCGGAGGGAGGAAAAACCGGAGGAACCGGAGAAAAACCCACGGAGCAAGGACGAGAACCAACAACAAACTCTACCCAAATGTGACGCCCGGCCCGGAAATCGAACCCGGGCCACAGCAGTGGGAGGCGAGTGCTCTCCCCACTGCGCCATCCCTACTCCCTAAAGGTTCCCTAAGGTTACCCCCCCCCTCCCCCGCATTTAATCGCCTCCCCTGACAATTCACTAGTACCCATTTATACTCCTGTATAGAGTTCGGAAAGAGATAACTTAAGAGTAACATAGTGTTCAACCTCGTTCCCAGGGTCTCTCATCATTCCGCCCCCTAGAGCGAGAGAAGAAAGAAATTTTTTTGCTCTGTAAGCACGTGACTAGCCTAAACCAGGGACTCTCTTCTCTCGCTCCAGGGAGTGGGAAGATGAGAGACGCTGGAACGAGGTTGCATAGTGTTTTGCCTAAGAACACAATAAATTGACTCAGCAAAGTCTTGAACCTGGAAATTTCGACCCAGAGTCCAACCCTCTGAACATGTTTGCTTGATTGTTTTTTGCTTTGTTTTGTTTTGTTTTTTTTTAATTGAAATTTTTTGCAACGTAAGATATGAAGTTCCATTTCATGAATCAATAAAGACGATGATGATGATGATGATTATTATTATTATCATTATTATCATGATTGCGTCTTTGACTTAACACTCGAATATTAAGATTAAATAATAACTCGTACCAAGCGGTCACCTGAAATGAGGTTACAGACACGTGACACCTTGCAGCTTAAATCTTAATCATGTACTTTTTTCTTTTGGTTCCGATTATCGATCTTACCCTTAGAATATATTCACACGCGCTTGGCTCCGTTAAAGAAAGAGCAACTTCTTGAAGATGTGTCGACTCCTTACATCTGCAACAGATTGATGTCAATTATTTAGATGTTGCATAGTTTACCTCTAAGCAGCCGGTGAGACAAAATCGCGCGTCATGAGTTTCCTTTACGACCATTTTTTAGTATGTCGAAAGAAATAAACAATTTTTTTGGTAACTGTGTTGGTGTATACTAAAACAGTTATCACCTCATTGCCGGTGAAGGTGGTGGATAATTTACTATTCACCTCCACTTCGGTGAATAATTGTTAACAAAAGAAGCGAAGGAGTAAAAAAAACCTGGGAGTTTGGGTCGGGTCGCGCAATGAACCCCACCCGACCCAGCCCCCCTCATTTTTTCACTGGCTCTTCTGTTATTTCGCTCAGCGTTCCCCAGAACTAGCAATACGTCCTTCAATCGTGTGTGTGTGTGTGTGTGTGTGTGTGTGCGTGTCTGTCTGTCCATCCTGTCTGTCTGTCCGTCCTGTCTGTCCCTCCGTCTGTCTGTCCGTCTGCCCGTCTACCTGTCCGTCTTTCTGTCTGTCTGTCTTTCTGTCTTTCTCTCTGTCTGTCTGTCTGTCTGTCCGTCTCTTTGTTTGTTTCTATGTCCATTATCCTTTGTGATCTACTAACCCATTCGCTGTCACTGCTAAGGGAAAAAAAGTAATTCGCAAGCTCTACAGGGTATCGAAACTTCTTAGCTCTTCCTGGATGAACAAATATGCCGTACCCAGTCCTTAATGTATTCCCATCACGAAGACTTACCATGAACTAAACAAGAATTCAATCGTTCAATTGCTCTTTAAAATTTTTCCACCTACTTTAATCTAACTTTAACATTTCTTGGCTTTCCAGTTAGGTCGCAAACGTCCCCTCCACTATAAAAATGATCGGTGTACCTGAAAAGATAAAATGCAACACAACGCCAACAATGTTTTCACCCTACAAATACAACTCCAACGTAAAGTTAATTACATGCGCGAGTTTTGCTATGTAGTCCCACACCTACATCGAACTTCGCTTGACCGCCATTGACAAACCATTGACAAACCATTGACAAACCATTGTGCGACCATTCACATGAAAGCTTAAGAGAGTCAAATTCACGCAGCATTACGCACAGAGGTGTTCGTTACGTCTATGACCAGTATAACCATGAAAATAACAGAAACAACAATACAAACAAAACAAATAACACAAAAACAAACAAACACAAACACAAAAAGAAATAAACAAACAATCAAGTGGACTGACTCAGTTCTCATGTATCAGTAATAATGATTAGTATATCTGCCATGCGGACGAATAGTACTCTTTAGAACACGCGGATCGACCAATTCGGAAGTGATAAGTAGGTACCATTCACCTCCAGGAAGCCGACGAAGCAAAATAGTGCCACCCGAGTAAAATTTCCGACCAGTTTCTGTGTATTGACAGAAATTTTTTGTGCGGTATATGCTAAAACAGTTGTTCACCAAAATGTCGGTGAGAGAGGTGGATGTTTACCTCCACTTCAGTTAACAACTGTTCATTATTGCTGTTAATAATAATAATAATAATAATAATAATAATAATAATAATAATAATTGCAGTTGATTTATAACTGGTTTATCTTACCCGTCACCCGCCCATTTATCTTTCTTCCAGCTGATATGAGCCTGTAATTCAAACAGATCTGTTTTATAAATTGATACGCAAGCCATAGGAACGAGAATTGATGTTGGGATTCGCTAAACACATTTCGTGGCGTTAGCACGGCCTCTGAAACCTGGGCAGAGCATGCGCCCTATCAAAGATGGTGGACCGACTATTAACTGAGCGAATCAGTTGGAGAGGACTTTTGTGGAGATGCGCAAAATAATGGTCGGCATTACACTAAAGAAGACGGGAAAAAGGACCGTGACAGAAAACAGATCAACAAAATGGTCTTATTGAACGAACCAGAATTTTCTTTTTTCTTTTTTTTTTGGCTTCGCTTTGCAAGCAACGAACCTTTAAGCAATTCATACATTTATTTTGGTGATAACAACTCTTGAATGGTTTCTATGGCGCTGCCTTTCGCTTTCCGCGCACGCCTTTTGTGATCGATACAATGCTTAGCCGAAAAACAGAAACCAGAAGCCAAAAGACTAGAGATCAAAATAATAGTGGAAAAATAACTCCCTTATTCGATGGTTCAACGTATAATACAAGCGGAAATTTCCCACTGCTCGCGTTTTTCCTCGTCCCTACGAGGCTCGGACATACTACGTACCTTGCAAAATATCTGCGCGTGATACATATTAAATAGTTGAACTAGAGGTTTGTATAGAATGGAAGAGAGATATGTTAAGTCATTTTGTATGATTCCTAAGGCTATTGTATTTCAGCTACCTACTGGGTATTAGATTAAAATTAGATTTAAGCTAGATTACCTGGGATAACATCTAGGATTGCATACTTCTATATATATATGTATATATGTATATAACTGCAGACAGTACTGTTTCGGCCTTCTGGGCCTCATCAGTGCAGTGCTGATGCTAGGATGGGGGAGAACCGACATGGATAAAAACGTAGTCGTCGTATTTTTCTACTCAACAAATAACAAGTTAGCGGGCTTCGAGCCAACAGAGACGCCGCGCCAGACGGATCCAAAAGGATTCGTAGTCCA